ATTGCAGCCTGCTGTTTGGAAAATTCCTCCTGACGGGCAGCATCTTGTTGCATGAGTTTCATACTTTCTTGCATCTGTTTTTGAAAATTTTAAGAAAGCGACAAATCGCTCGCGCTGAAGATAGTGTGAAACCAGTCTGGATCAGGTCAGGGTCCTTCTCAGTACTCCTGCTAACAAGCATGATTTCATTCATTAGGGGCTCAGCATGCCTCTCTGTCTCTCAAATGATCAAAGTTTTGCAAATCCCGAGGAATTCCTTCCTCTTCGTTTTCACCGCAGTGTTCAAAAAAGTTTTGAAAAAAACTCAAGTCATCATAATGACTTCAAGGCACAAGAGAGCAGGTGGAATGCACTGCCATTTCATTCAAATGCCGGCACAACTAGCACACGGCAGAAGCAAATGCGAGAGTGTGGAAATCACTGCTGTTTCATTCAAAATCTGTTGGTACAACTGGCTCCCTGGCAGAAACAGACTCAAAATAAAACGAAAAGACAAACACAAAACAAAATGGTGATGCTCGAGGTAACACCCCCTGGAATCACCCGCCTCCTATACAACAGGACTGACTCGATACAACAAGACAGACCCAAAACAAAAGAGACTGACTCAAAACAAAAGACAGACTCAAAACAAAACAACAAGACTGTCCCAATACCCAAGTTAGAAACTGGCATTCGCAAATGCTCAAAACAGTGCCTGTCCTTCCCATATCTGGAGCAAATCGAGTGCCACCCGCAGCTGGTTCAACCTCTGATCAGATTACATTATCCCCTCACAAATTCACTGATCAAGTGCCGATAGACTTTGCAGGACCTGGTGCGGGGATGACCCCGTTGTCAATCAAATTTTGTATCTCGTGGCGGAGACGGACGCAATAGTCGGTGTCATGACCGGTTTGTTGATGGAAAGCACAGTACTTAGTCGGGTCATGCTTTGCAGGGAGAGGATCGGGTAGGGGCCGTTGCTCTAACGGTTTCAGGTGTCCCTTCCTGAGTAGGACCCCCAGGACTTTAGACAAAGACATATAAAGTGGGGTGAAAACCCTTTTGCCTTGGGGTAGATAGTCTGAAGTTCGGGGGTTTGAAGTAGATGCATCAACAAAGGGGGTGGCTGCTCTTGGTGTGGTGGTGGCAACCATGCCCACTTCGGAAGATCTTGCAGCTGCGTCACCGCTAGTGATCGCATTCGAACTACGGGTAAACGCCTTCCTGAGCTGTTCCTTCTCCTAGTCAAAGAGGCCCTACTTCATAGCATCCTCGATCTGCACTCCCATCTCATGCAAGTCTGGAAAGGTAGGGAAGGGGATCACGATCATTTTCTGCATTAGCTTGGGCTGGAGATTGCGCACAATCATCCGAATTTGATCTTTGTCAGTGGGCCTAAGGGTCATCATTGAAGCCTTGGCCCTCCAGCGGGCTACGAATTCTGAGAAGCTCTCCTTCGGCTCCTGCCTCATCGTCTCAAGATCACGGGTCGTAATCTCGATTTGGGTATTATATGAATATTGTGCGACGAAGGCCTCGGCCATCTCCTCCCAGCTTCGTTTCACTGAATCCTCCAATTTGGCATACCAGGTGACCGCAATACCCGATAGGGTCCTGCCAAAAAGGGAGAGCTTCTGTAATCTTGTCAAGCCCATCGGGCGCAAAACATCTGAAAACAAGCTCAGGTGGACTATGGGATCTCTTGACCCATCAAAACGGTCGATGAGAGGCATCTTGAACCTGTCCAGCAGAGTTACAGCTGCGTCGGTGTACCCGTCCTCAATGCCCGGGATGGACTTTACCCCCTGGGATTTCTTGAACAACTTTTCAAGCTTGCTCAACTTCAACTCTGTGGGGTCGACCTCGAACTCGAAGGGAGAGTTCGGTAGATTGGTAGGTGTTTTGGATAGTTGGGGTAAAATTGGGGGCGGAGCCGGCCCTACCGGAATGTCCGTACCTCCCTGGACATTTGGCGTCTCCCCAGGTGCTAGAGCTCCTGCTGAGGGAGGAACTTGTTGTGAAGCAGACGTGCCGCTTTGCTGTTGCAGCTTGATGATGAGCTCAGCCTGCTGAGCCATGATCGCAGCCTGCTGTTTGGCAAATTCCTCCTGACGGGCAGCATCTTGTTGCATGAGTTTCATACTTTCTTGCATCTGGCGTATCATTGCCTCCATCCCTGACGTGTTCTGCTGATCCATCTGACTGACTGGTATCTATCCCTGCAGTAGAAACTGAGACCTCAGCCTGACTGTTCACTGGTGGGGTGGATAAGGGCCAATGATCCGGTAACTGCTGAACTGGTGATTTGTGCCCGACTAGCCCTTTTACCCTGCCTCTGGCAAAGGAACACTGATTGCCCTTGAACTGAATCTCTGACCTGAGAAATTCTATCAGCACAAGTTCGATGATCCTCGAGGGATATCGGAGCCTTCTGAAGCTATGGTTCCAAGACTACCTAGCAAAAGAGAAAATAGACAGCACCTCAGCCTGATTTCGCGATAACCCACATGAGCAAAGCTGAGTGAGTGTACTCTCTACTGAATTCTGCCCCAAAATTCTGCCCCAAATCTGAGTCTGATACCCACAGGTAAAGCTGACTCCCAAATACTGAACTGGTGCCCGCAGGCCTGATGCCCAAACTCGCGAACTGGTGCCCGCAGGCCTGACGCCCAAACTCATACACTGATACATGCATTCCTGTAGAGACGCACTCTAAAGCACATAACAGATAAGTGAGAGCCAAAACACCCCTATGTTGGGGTAGGGTTTCCCTGTCCTATTTTGTCAGGAGCTAGGGTTTCACTACGCACGCAACGGTTTCAAACAATCTATAAACGGGTAAGCAACCTGTCCTAATTTGGAATGGTCACTATGGATCCGAATATGCACTAGGCCGAATGGTCAAAAAAGGTGCCTCGGTAAAACCGGGGTTTGTGTAGATGATAATCCTGCTAATGGAAATCCAATGGATGAGTATCTGTCTGATCCACCTATCCTGGAAGATTCTGCAAAGGATCTCAATGGATTTACAGATATATATTGGGTATATCTCTTCTTGAACGTCTGATAATTAGTTTGATGTTTGTGCACTGTTTTGCCATGTTGTTAACAAAGTCCTAGAATTGTGAATTCACCCTCACGGCTAGTCCACTCCCGTCGCTAGTCATAATGAAAACAAATTTACAATTCTGGATGCTGTTTTCATTTGTTTTCATCCTGGATGCATTATTTCACAAGTCCACCCTCCACCGCTCGCCACCACTTCCGGCAACTCACCAAACTTCATTTTTTGTTTTCATTTGTTTTCACGAAACAAGGTTTATTTATTTTTTTAAAAACTTTTTTTCCCCAAAAAAATGAAACAAAAATGTGTTTCCTGTTTCCGGTTTTTTTTTTTGGTAAACAAAAAACAAGAAATTTACAACATCATCAAACCAAACTTAATTTTGGGTTTGAAAGTGGACAACCGAACTACTTTTAGGTTTTTGGATTAGATGCAGATTAATCCGAATCAACTTAAAAATTGATCTTATATATAAATTTTGCATGAAATGTTATATGTAGTATATAGGTTTTCATAAAATTTGTTGTGCTCATTCATTTATGGTAAATTTTATAGCATGATGCTGCTTAAGTGATCTAATTTCATGTTTTTCATATTGCAGCCTGACTCTTTAGGACCCTTAGATTTGGATATACCTTCCTCCAGATACCATACTGAAGATCTAATTTTAAGCGATAGCCTCAGCGGCTTGAACCGCCTACTTGCCAGCAGTCTCGATGTGTTTCAGAATTGCTCGTTCTTTGGATTGGACAAGAAAGAAATATCATCAACAGTTGAAGCTCAACAAACTGCTTCATTTTCAGATTATAAAATTGGCAGCGGTGTTTGAGATTATACCAAGACCCCCTGGAGACAACATTTTTATCATTGACGGGTCAAGCCATGGAATTCAAGCATTGCTGTTGGTAACTTGTGACTGCGATTTGTATCCTGGTTTAGTTGGCTTTGAGTGCCAAGAGAATTCGGTGACTGCCCTCATCGGAAGTTTTCTCCCCTGTTGTACAAAAGATAGATGTGGAGAAACTTGTTTACAGATCTCTCTATTCCAACTTCTGACATTATTGGTACATTTCTGTAAATTGTGTTTCAGAAGCTGCAAATGTGCAACCCCCAAATACACAAATAACTTTTGATTATCTGAGTTTCACAGGCTTGTTAAGTTGAGAAAGTGGACTCATTTGAACAGTTGGTCCTCAATGTTAATTGACTTTTGAGACAGAAATAGCTTTGATTAACTGAGTTTCGGAGTTTGTGTTCAGTGGAGTATGTAGACTCAATTGAACTGTTGATTACTCAAAATGTTAATTGTCTTCTAAAATAATATGAGATGTTTTTGTTATCTGAAGACTGTCTTTGTCTCTATTTATGCTTTTGAGTGGCTTATACTATGTGGAGTATGTGTTGGTTGTGGAAATATGATTAACACTTTTTGTGGCAGAGAAATTCAACCTAGAGCTCTCTCATACGACGAAAATCAAGTTGTCTAGCTTTTGAAGAAATATGAATAACATTACTGTTTTTATCTCACAAAAGTTGCTATGCTTTGGTGTGTTTTGTGCAGTTTGTGTTGTGACTTAAGACTTGCCGGAAAACGTTTTTAACTTTTTAAAAGTGGAAAACATTTTTGGCCCAAATACTTGTTTTCCGTTGACCACAAAGCATTTTGCATTTGACTTTTGTTTTCCATTGTTCCAAATGCCATAAAACGAAAAAAATGTTTACCGCTTATACAAACAGGGTGTTAGCATCTTACTGCTCTGCAGAAGTGATATTTTACTTAAAAAGTGAAAGGATACATAACATTTTCAATTTTCCTGCAGGAGTTGCCTGAAGTTGAGGTGCTGCAATGACATGGAAATGTGATATGGGCTTATACTAACATGAGAGAGCCTCAGCCACACTCACATAAGAGGCCGATGGATGAAAATGAAGTGCCTCGAAATGCGTGCACACGGGCAAGCAAACCGAGGCAATGGCATACGCAATGCAAATGACATGGAATGGCATATAGAATGTAACATGGACTTATACTAACATGAGAGAGCCTCAGCCACACTCACATAAGAGGCCGATGAATGAAAATGAAGTGCCTCGAAATGCGTGCACACGGGCACGCAAACCGAGACAATGGCATACGCAATGCAATGGCATGGAAATGATATGCAAACATGCTAATGGAATTTCAGCACTGAAATGTGGGGGAAAACAGCCCCGAAATGAGGCGAAAACACACCCGATGCATGGAATAGTCCCGAAACATGGACTTTGGCACCCGAAATGGCCTATAGCTATACCAAATATGCACAATATGGACATGCAATGAATAGACAGTAGCAAGGCAGCCCTAAAATTAGCATTTTACTAGTACAAATCATGGCCAAACAGCAAGCAAAGATAGGGCAACAATGGCATGCAAAAATGGCCCTAAACATGAGATTATGAAGCAACTCACAACTTTTGACTCCAAACAGGTTAGGGCCCTTCAACAACATTGAAGAGGGGCCCAAAATAAGCCACTTTACAGAACTGTAAAAACCCCAAAAACAAACATAGGTATGGCTAAACTCTTATGCAAGAATTGGACCGGAAAATGGGCAAAGAAGCAAGTGGTAGATGCAAAGCCCAAACAGAAAAAGAGTATTCTATAACACTCAAGAGGGGCCAAAAATATGCACATTTACAGTTTATGGCAGCCCCAAAATCAGTATACAAACATGCTAGAAATGCAATGCAAAATGAGGCTCAAAAGTGGCTATAACATGAGGTATATAAAGCATTCACCAAACAAGCAAAGACCCTTAATAAAACATGTTAATAAGGTCAAAATAAGGCCACTTTCAGTTCTGATCATGGTCCAAAAATAGAAAAATGATAGGCTAGTGAAGCATGCAAGAATATTGACATACAAAGAGATATTGAAACAAGTGTGAGATAGGGTTCTCAAAGAGGGTTGAGCCCTTCAACAAACATGTAGAATAGCTCAAGATAGACCTATTTTCAGTTAAGGTCGGAGCCCAAAACAATAAGCAACTTGGCTAAGAAATTGGCGCAAAAATGAGCTACAAAAGGAGGAAAGTCTACTTACCCTTGAAGACCAACACTTTTGTTGCTTCTTGGACCAACTTTGATGACTCTAAGCTGCTGGAATTCTTCCCCTTTCTGCTGGAATGGAGTGGTGGTGGTAGAGCTTGATGATGATGAAGAAAATGGAGCCAAAACTTGAAGGAACTGGAGAGATATGTATCTATATCTTCAAAGCAATTCTTCTAACCCTTTCTCTTGAGTTGGGAGGCCAACTATATAGGCAAGAGAGGGAGAGAAGAGTCTAGGCAAAAGTGGAGGGAAATGAGGCTTCTTTGCCCTCCAAAAGGGTCCCCCGGATATAGATATTTTTGGGGGAAAACCAAGGCACAACTGGAAAGCACACACAGTGAGGAACATGGCCGGCCTGACATTTTGGCTACAGGTGGCCGGCCGGCCACCCCCCATAGCCGGCCGGCTACGGGTCAAAAGGGGCAATGTGATTTTCTGGCCGAGCACCACATATTGGTGTCCTCCCATGTCTCCTCATCACAACCATGTGATTCAAAATTGGAAACAGTGAAACAAGAGAGAGAACAAGCCATTTTTAGGAGGGGTTCAAAAGGGTCAAGCAAAATTAGTGGCCGGCCACCAACTTTTAGGGTCCTCCCATGTGTGTACAACACAAATATGTGGTTAAAAGTTCAAGAAAATGGCCCAATGGTGTTCAACATTGGCTCGGAAGCGAGAAAAACGGGCGTCGGAGGACGCCGGTCCTCCCATGTGTGTACAACACAAATATGTGGTTTGGGGTTGAGGAAAGTGGCTCCAAGGTGTTCAACATTGGCTTGGAAGTGAGAAAAACGGGTGTCGGAGGGCGAAAATGGAATATAACTGGTTGCCAAGATAATTGCTGGCCTCCCACCCTTCTGCGGCCTTCCTGGTGATGAAACAGAGGTACCTGCCAAAAATGAACGGAAACCGATGCAAAACGAATGTTCGGGGGCTAGAACACGCAGTTCGGGGTCCCGAAAATGGGCTGTTAAGCACCGAAAGTGGCATTCGGCCACGAAGTGGGTCTTTCTGACCTCAGTGTCCCTCAAAAGGGAGAAAATAAGATGTATGTGAAAAATCAGAGCAAATGGAGATGGTTAAGCAGTCCCGAACCGAGGCACACGGCCTGACGGCTCCGAAAACCGAAAACCGGGCTCCGAAATGGGCAAATTGGCCTATGGCCACAAAATGTAGCCCACGGCCACTGAGAGATGGTCTACGGGACCTCTCCCTCCCCTCAGGAAAAGAAACAGAGAAAACCGAGTCTGGTTCGCAAACCGAGGCAAGGCACAGAAGAGGGTTCGGAAGTCCGGAGGCGGGGCTCACGGCCGCGACTCTGAGACTTCTGAACGAGCGCGATATGCAACATCACCAAGCGCTCAATCGGTGACGTCTGAGTCTCAAGGTCGGTCAAAAATGGGGTGTCTACAGGAGTGAGGGGGGCTCAGTGAATAATAGTATGTAGGTAAATTGCACAAATAAACAAAAATCACGCCGTATATAAATATACTTCACACGCTAGTTCTTGTTCTGTATTCATTTCCAAACGGCCTTGGGCCCAACATTTATACGAAACGGCCTCAGATTCAATATTTATACAGAATGGCCTCAGGCCCAATATCATACAGAACGGCCTGAGGCTCACATATCTTACAAAACAGCCTTAGGCCTACATATCAACAGCTGTTTAAACACATGAGGTAGGTAGAACATCGACATGTAGACCACCTCCCTCAGCCTTAGGCCACGAGTCATAACCAATTCAAATCATATTAGGGTCGGTGAGACATCGGCATGTCATCACCTCCCTCAGCCTTTGGACTGCTGCCAACAAGATATAACTGTTATCCGAACGGCCTCAAGCCCAACAATGACAAAACGGAACGACCTTGGGTCCATAAGGATACCATTACTCAATGTCACACATAAGTTTTCCAATTGTTCACTACATAGAGACATAGCTCATACAACAATCACAGTATGCTAACGATAACTATTAGCAGCAAATAAACATATCACTACAGTACTATTACTCACAGTGCTGTGGCGGAGCAAAAGTCCCTTTCTGCATGTGACCTACAGACAGCATGCAACTCATAAGTTAGTCTCTTTTCTTTAATTTTTCCTTTTAAATCAACGTTTGATTCGTTCAACCTACATTAGATTACAAGCATTTTAAAAGCTTCAAATGCACGTTTTAGCATTCCTAGAGGGTCAAACAGAAGAGAAGAAATACACAGGATTTTTTCCCTTGGGCCGCACGTGCGGAAGTCCTTCCCCGCACATGCGGGAAGGTGGGCCGTACGTGCGCCCGCACGTGCTTTTATTTCAGTGTCTGAACTTCACACTCCCCTATTTTCCGCACCTGCGGCTGTGAGCCCCGTACGTGTGGTGGTGCTTCCCGCACGTGCGGTCGGAATCCCTGTTTTGAGCAGTCTGAAACAAGGCAAATATCCATCTAGGTCAACACATCACAAGGTACAAAATCAAGGAATTTGATACAATATGATGATATAACATCACACTAACATGAATCACAAACTCAATTCCTTTAAATTTCTAGCTATATTTGGCTTTATAAATTTACATACTTATCCATCCAAATACATAGATGAGTTCAAACATCAAAAACTAAGGAATACATTGTAATTCCCCTCCTTAGGGCTCAACATAACACCGAATCAACCTAACACAAGAAGTATTCTTCCAATTAATCACTTATCTCACACTTGATCTTAATTATAAACCCTAACTTACATATATGTAGAAAAGTTCTTGCTTAAATCAATTAGAAAGGTTATTCTAGGTAGATCGTACCTACCTTAAGCCCAAATCTTTACAATATTTCTCAATTCTCCAATTTATTTCTTGTTGAAGCCTTCTCCCCTTTCTCTCACTTTCCAACTCTCTCCTTCTCCCAGGAGATACTTCTATGTGATAGAAGTTACTAAGTTAAGAGCTTAAAAGGGTTATTTAAGGTTTAACCATAAATTAATCAGTTTAATCATTACGAATCAAATTTTTACAAAAGTTCACATTATTACCTAAAAATCACACTTATCATAAGTATAGAGTCAATTTCAAGTTATCAAGCTTCTAGGGCTTTCAATTACTAATCTAAACATCACCATTGTAGCAGATTTTTCTCGTAATTGATAGATATAAACCCATAATCATATAATTCACACAATTAAACTTAACTCCACATGGAATTTCACATTAAATATGTATTGCACATATAATAAAATGCTAGAAGCATATCAAAAAGCA